CCATTGTCCTGAGTGAGAAGCTTGGGGATCGACGGGAGACAGAACACGTCTGTTGACATCAACTGCAGGTGTGTGAACCACAGCTGTCACAGCCACTATGGAGAGAGGACAGCATTCAACTGGAACTGTTGAAGTTGAATGATGGTTTGTTGGTATGAGTGGTATCAGAGAGAATAGGTAGAGTAGGTCTCTGGTCCAGTTTATCATAAAGGCATCCCCGAGTGAGTTCCTGTTGGTACCGGCCCGAGAGCAATACTGTTGACATTTGGTGTTGGTCTCAGAAACAAAGACATTGATGGATGGAAGACCCGACCAGTGACAAAGAAGATCAAAGACTCTGCCATCTAGTGACCACTCGTGTGTCCTTGTGGCAAGGCGGCTAAGCTGGTCTGCGAGAAGGGACCTCATTTTGAGCCTCACATGCTGAATAACACCAACTGTGGAAGTCCTAAGCCCAAGGAGGTGCTGTGCTTGATGTGCCGATACAGAGGCCAGAGGTCGAAATGGTTGGATTGCCCGTTTCAGTTTGATGATTCGCTTGTGAAGGAGAAAGGCTCTGGCTCGGAGGGAGTCAACGTATACTCCGATATAGGTGGCGGTTTGCGAGGTCTTGAGATGGAATTTAGTAGGGTTTACTTTGAGTCCGAGGTCTTCAAGAGTATCGAGAGTAAACTGGGTAGCTCTGATGGCATTATGATAGGAAGTAGCAATTATCAACCAGTCCTCTATGTATGGGAATACGGTGACACCTTGAAGACGGAGGTAGGCAGCCACTGGTGCCATGCGTTTGGTAGAAGTCCTCAGTGCTGTGGAAAGTCCAAACGGAAGAGAGCGAAACTGGTATGAGATATTGTCGAATCGGAATCGAAGAAATTTGTGGTGATGCGGGTGGATGGAGATGTGAAAATACGCATCCTGGAGGTCGATGACAAACCAGTCCCCCTGTGAAAGGAGAGGGATGATAATGTCGAGTGTCAGCATTCTGAAGCGTCTGGGTTGAATGAATTTATTGAGGTGTCTAAGACTGAGAATTGGATGGAGTCCTCCATCCTTTTCTGGTACCATAAAGTATCTCAGATAAAATCCATCATGAAGGGCAGAGGAAGGGACTATGAGTATGACTTGCTTTAGGAGAAGAAGGGAAACTTCTTCTTGGAGAACCAATGAGAATGGAGTAGTCTTAACGGTGCCAGAAGGTGGAATGTTTAAATTCAATAAAGAAACTGTTTGGGACAATGGAGAGAACCCATTGGTCATTAGTTATTTGACGCCATGATCTAAGAAAAGGGTGCAGTCTGGTTTGGAATGCCAATATAAGGGGTCTATGGATATTGCTTACCCTTCTTTTGTGGGCGTCAAAAGGACTGTCAACATGGCTGTTGTTGTTGAGGATGAAAAGCAGGTGTTGTAGATGTCAATGGACTGGAGTAAGATCTGTTAGGTATTTGTGGTCCGTATGCTCGGTATGATTGCTGGTATGGCTGAAAAGGTTGCTGGAAGAAAGGCTATCTGTGAAACTGAGGGTGGTAGGCAAATTAGAGGGTGATTCTTGAGAGATACCGAAGGTTTAATCTTGGATAGAAAGAGAGGATTCAGAAGATAGTGATCGATATGGTGGTTTAGTTGCCGATGTCGAAGTTAACAAAGATGTCGGCCGTTGCTGTATCGGAGGTACGTTCGGCACAGGATGTTGGTCGATGTCAGGAGTAGGCCCTGTATAAGAGATGGTAACATGGAGAGACGTATGGTGTCGACATTGTCTGGAGAAGTGCTTGATTCATTTAGCTTGAGAATGAATATCTAGTGGAGGAAGAGTGCACTTAAGAGCTGACTTCGTGGGGATTGATGAATGGTGAGTCGATGTATGATATATTGTAGACGAATGGTGTCGATGCCGTGGTGGTGAAGGTGACACAGAAGGCGAATATTGAGGTGGATAGGCATATCTCACTCTCTTCGGTTCATCATAATAGACATGTTCAGTCAGGTCTTCGGGATAGTAGGGGCCGTAGTGATGTCACTGAAGTTTATCTCTGGCTGGGTATCGAGACGGTTCAGGATAATATAACTCCCTGTGTGGATGGACGGTCATAGTGGACTGGAGAAAGGTGTCATCTCTTCTCCTGGTGTTTTCGGACAGACTGATGAGACACTCCGAGCCAGAAACCTGAGTAGGTGATCTAGGGCTGAGGCCGGGTTGGAATGAACATCAGCCAGAGATAGGCCAGTGCTCAGCGAAAGGCTAGCAATAGAAACTGCAGCCTGAGCCAGTGGTAAATTAGGACCATCTCTATCCGAGATGGAGCCTTGGCCGTCTCTAGATGACTCTTCAAGGATCGGTGATGGAAGTACTGATTGGGGTGGATCTATTAGAGTTGATTTTGTAGGCTTTATGGTCTTCTTAAGTTTAGCTTTATCTTTCTTTTTCTTAGAGGAGTCATCTGGATGAAGTCTTTAACGTGGACGTTGAGCTTGGTTTTGAAGTTGACTTTGAATGGTCTTTTTGGCAAGGTAAAGGGATTGTCGGAATCGATATCCGGTGAGGAGTTTCTCAATGCTCTGGACATGGAGTTGGAGACGTCGCCATGTCCACAGTGGTCGGATTAAGAGATTTCTCCCAAAGGTACGAATGAAGTCTTTGTAATTTTAATTTCAGAGCAAGTTTTGTGAGCTTCTTACACTCAAGACAAGAGTGTATGTTGTTCCCCGAGGCAGAAAAGGCAACGGTTGTGACCATCGGTAAACAGGATCTTATTTGTGCAGAGCATGCACTGCTTGAAGGGCCCTGGAGGGGCCAATAAAAGGCTGGGGGAAAGGGGAAGGAAAAGTGGCGTGGGGGAGGGAGAAAAACAAAGTGAATAAATTCAAAAGGGCAGTGGATAACTCACAGGGGAAACATCCTACAAAAGAGATGATTGTAAGAGAAAATAAATGATCTCAGTAATACAATGATCTTAGTGATCGCGCAATCGGTCTAGTGTTCCGAAATAGGTCAACCTAAGCAGTGGCCAAAAGGAGCCGAGGGGAATTCTGGCGGGCGGAGAATGCACTCCAAGGGTAACATCCTACTAACCACATCTTTAAGCTCTAGAAACTTCCGAGAGGTCCTGCACAGGCACAGAACAGTCCAATTGTGTGGATTCACAGAGGCCATGATGAAGAAATGGGACTTTTGACATCATGGCGCTGATATTCTGATATATGACTTACTCCACACTCTGAGAGACTGAGTTACACTTAAATCAGTATTAAACACCATACCCGTAAGAATTTTTCAGTTGTTTTACCTGAATGTAACTATTCTGTTTAACTGTGTCTCAAGAATATAAATTTTAATTGTTTTCACTGCAACATGCTTTTGTGTATACCTAGTTCTTAAACTCTGCAAGATGCCTCGAGTTCCAGTTCTCAAAGAAAAGCGAAATACAAAACAAATCCTTATCAGGCAAAAACAAAAGAAAAATTAAAAAAGATACAAATGTCGTGGCACCTTATAGACTAACTAATAATTTTAATGTGAGTGTTTGTGGCCACGTGACCACAGAAGTTTATCTTAGGGCAAAACGCTAGCTCTATGGGTTGGAAACAGAGATGAGCACCGCCACCTAGAGTCGGACACGACTGGACAAATTGTCAATCGGAACCTTTACCTTTCGTGGGGAAAGCCCACTACTTCTAAAAGAAATTAATGCTTTAGTTTTAATTTAAATGTTAACTCTTCTGTGGTTTATGGTTTGGCAACACCTTGGTTTTAACTGCCGATTCATCTACAAAAGTAGGACCTTAGACATTTTTGCTGGAACTTCAACCCAGACCAGATGGAACTGGATAAGTCCATATCTCAGCCTAATCCATTTCAGAGAATTGTTGTAAGCCACCTAGAGACTTTTGGGTAGAGTGGGCAGCATATAAGTTAAATAAACAAAATAAATAAATAAATATTTCAGCAGGGAAGCAGAAGAGAACAGTGCAACTTTCTAGATGCCAAGACTTCAATTCTTGATTTTCCCTGACGGTCAGCTATAGTGCTTAGGCAAGTCAGTATCGCAGTCCCTACCTGTCCCCCGTTCTAAAGATGCATTTTTAGCAGTCTGAGATCTCTTGAACTGCCATGACTCCAGTGGCGCTGGAGAAAGCATCAACACAGTTTATCGGAGAACTTTGTGCATCACTTCAAACTACAAACCGCAGGATTCCTTAGGATTTACAGGTAAAGCAGAACTGATACTGCTTTGTCGTGCAGACAGGTCTCTTTTAAGTTTTGTCTGAGCTCCAGTGACATTGGAGAAAGCATTGGCACTTTGTGTATCACTTCAAACCCCAGGATTCCTTAGGATTTATAGGTAAAGCAGAACTGATACTACTTTGTAGCGCAGACAGGTCTCTTTTAAGTTTTGTCTGACCAAACACATACCCATGATCAGAGGAACCCATTGTCCCACTTTGACCAACCTGATATTAATGGGAAGTGAGAGACCTGTGCCTCTGTGGTTGTTGATTCTCAACTGTTATTTTAGAAAGACACCGTTCTAAGTGGGTAACGTATAGCTTATCATGCTTTCCACTTTGACCAACCTGATATTAAGGGAAGCCATGGGGTGAGAGACTTGTGCCTCTGTGGTTGTTGATTCCCAACTGGTATTTTAGAAAGACACCGATCTAAGTGGGTAACGTATAGCTTATCATGCAAGATTTATACCGCACACCACCATGTAACGTGTTCCAGGAGGCCAAACGTTATCGTAAAAGGCTCACTCACCCCCAATAAGTAAAGCATGGCACCATACACCCATGCCTTTGCTGAGGTGTTGAGGTTCTACGTACGAGACAGCACAGATATTAAGAGAACAAGACATAAATCAGATGGCCAAGCCACCTTCGAATATTCAGCAAGGAACACTTAAGAGAGCACATGTTTTCTTACCCATGATCTGGCTGCTGGGGGTGTAGAGGAAGAAGAGTAGGAGGGAAGGAAAAAAAACACCACAAGTCTGAATCGGTTTAAACACAGGACAAAAAAGGCACATTTTAATATTTACAAAGCATAGCATTCAGGCCATCAGTATACCCAACACAGCTATAAAGTAATGCCTGCCCACTCTCAAATCACCTACCTTTTTCTGAATGACGGTACTCACACATTTCTAAGAGTCAGAAGCGTTCGGTTAGGGTTCCGCTTTCAAGTTAATAGGAGATTCAAACTTGCATAGCATCTTTTTTTTAAACATCCAATCAGCTCAAGAAGTCACCTTTCCTAGAAGAGAATTAACTTTGCATCGTGTTCAGCCAGGGAGGGAGAAGGATGTATTTCTGAAAGGTTTGATTTTTTAAAAACAAAACAAACAAAAAATAAGACTATCGGTGGGGCCTAGAATTGCAACTACATCCCCCCCTTTGCTGCTGCTAAAAGTAATCTTGTTAAAAGCAGGAAATTTAGAATATTGTCAAGAAGTTTTAAAAATGTAATACTGTTTATTTTTGCTTCAAAAACATTTCAGCATTCTAAACATACAAAAAACCAACATAACGTTTTTGCAAATTTTTTTTGTTTCTCTTTTTAAAGTACAGAGTGTTTTTGAACTTCAGTTTTCTGCGTCCTCTCTTCACTCGATGCTGGCCATGAAGAGACCCTACAGCTTCCGTTTAAAAACTACCCCCACTTAACTAAAAGGAAAAAAAAAAGATTCCATACAATTTTCTCATGCCACCTGAACTCCCCCCGCCCCTTCCACAACTAAGAATGGCCGCAGAATGCTAATTTCACTATATACAGAAAGACAACTTTAAGCTAAATGGACGCCCACTGTAGTGTGAATAGATCTACTTTCGTAGTGCATTCCCTGAGACATGACCCCTTTGCGGAAAAAAAAAGAGCATAACAGCTTTCCTAAAACTGTTTTTGCCTTCCTCTCCAAGGTTATCACCGCTCAAGGCATGTACCACAAGAATCTGTCTAGTTTTTACAAACTATAGATATGTACAGTTTATAACCCAGGAGTTTCTAGCCAATAACCATATAGTTAAACACCACCTTACAAATTAAAAAATAAGATGCTTGAAACATTTTTAAATGCTTTGTTACACCAACAGGAAAGTGCACAGAGTTGAGGAGAACACTAGAGTGTATCGTTTCCACCTTTTTTTTCATATTGTTTTAAAAATGTTTGGAAATATGTACAACTTTGTTACAAGTTTCAGGGCGCCTAAGGAAACCCATGGCCTCTTAATGTAAACCAGTTACAATGGTTTTTTCTTCTTTTTTTTAAACTTCCACTTCTGTATTTTCCTAGCACGCTTATAGTTAAATTTCTTCCCCAAGAAGCTACGGTGTGATCAAAATCCAAATTGTGTCATTAAATCTAATAAAGGGCAAATAAAACACCATCTAAAATAAGAGGTGCAAGGTTTGTTATTTTTCCGAATGTGTTTCCCCCTACTCTATGGTATTCACATGGAGACAAGTATGATACAGTTTTTTTTTCATTCATCGTCCTCCTCCTCGTCTTCCTCCTCCTCTTCGTCTTCTTCGTCCTCCTCCTCTTCCTCTACCTTTTTCCGAGTTGCAGCCGCTGCTTTGGCTGCCGCGCTCTTCGCACCATCAAACTTGCCTTTAGATTTGTAATCTGCAACATCCTGCAAGAAGCGGAGAACAGGTTTCGTTGATCCCTCTTGCACACAACGCACCGGAGGTTTTACGGGCCCCTTAGAAAAGCAACAGGAAGGGCTTGGCAGACCATGGGCTCAGGACACATAAAAGTCCAGGGCTCAACCCACCTAGCTTCTGCAGGTAGGGCTGGGGGAAAAATTACTGAAAAACACGCAGAGCGGCTGCCAGCCTGTGCTGACATTAGGCCAGATGTATCTGCCGCTTCCTACATTCCATGCTGAACAACTCACTTTGTCTTTCATGATTGAATCGCAGGGCTTTGGAGTCAGAAGGAATCCCCCCCCCCCCAGGACCATCCAGCCGAAACCTCCGGCCTACACAAAAATCTCACATCTAAACCATCTGGGGAGGGTATTACTGTATGTGCCCCCCTGGGGATACCTGGTGAATACCTGTCTGTCCAAGTCATTAAGGACATCTGATTTATTCAACAGCAATTCTTTAGGCCAGTGGTCCCCAACCTTGGGCCTCCAGATGTTCTTGGACTTTAACTCCCAGAAATTCTGGCCAGCAGAGGTGGTGGCGAAGGCTTCTGGGAGTTGTAGTCCAAGAACATCTGGAGGCCCAAGGTTGGGAGCCACCGCTTTAGGCGACAGCCAGTGCAGTGTACCAGGCAGTGCTCAACCAGGTCTTAGGAGACACCATTTCAAATCCCTGCTTGCCCACGGAAACTCATTGTTACAATGGTAAGCCAATCCCATCTCAAAAACTCTACCATGGTCAACATAAGCGGGAAACAACTTGATGGCAGTTGTTAGTTTATCTGTGAACGGCAGCTGTTAAAACCCTTTGCTGAACAGTGGCTTTGACAGTAAGAATTGGAGGTAGAATGCCATTTCAGTTACAAAACTTCTTCCCTTGAGTGTTCAACACACACTCTAAAAGCAACGGCCACTGTAGCAACGCAGGGTACAACGGAACAGGGATTCCCACCACTCAGCACGAGCAGAAGGACCTTCCACTTCCACCAGTGACTCTTTACACCAAGGCCAGGAATACTTTGTGTGTGTTTTATGTTTTTAAACCAAATGGCACAGTAGACAAGGTCATAGGTCTTAAGGCAGGATTAAGGCATGCCAAGCAAAACCGCATAGGCTCCAATCCTGTTAAGTTAGGAAGAAGCTCAAAGAACATCCAAGTATTCAGGTATTCCGATTTTCTAAATGTCTCATCTGCCAATCCCTTCCAGCTTGCCGAAAAAGGTGCTGCTAAGCAACTCTTAAGAGTCCTGGATAGTCCTCTCTCTGCTTCTCTGTGTACAGAACTCTGCCTTCCAGTACCCCACCCTCGCCACTAATGGATGGGTAAGCTTACTGTCCTCCCACTTCTTAAGTAGAGATTCTTCACACTTACGATCCCAAGGTGGTGGTAGTTTTTTTTTTTAAGCCGAGTCTACTACTTACTTTCTCTTGTGAAATGGAAAAAAATGGGGAGGAAAAAAAAAGAAGAGGGTCATTTTGAAGATACATTTCTTTTTAGGGTCTTTGGGACTGAACTAGCAACAGGTGGGAAAGCTGAAATATATATATCCAGAGGCATCCAAAATTGCCGCCGCAATGGAGGAAACTCGCAGAAAGGTGAGTTTTAAGCCCATAGGAACGTATTAAATCAGTTTTAATATGTTCCTATGGGCTTTTTTATTTCACTTAACGATGGATTCGCTGAGCGAGGGTTAATCTGGAACGGATTAACCTCGCTAAGCGAGGCACCACTCTGTGTCTGTGTGTGTCTGTCTGTGTGTGTATATGGAGAAAGATAGATCTCGATTTCTCTCTCCTGTCTTTCTCCTTAAATGGAAAGAAAGATAGGAGATCTCGATCTCTCTCTCCTGTCTTTCTCCTTAAATGGAAGGAAAAAAGGAATTTCAAGTTTTATCCAGTGAATCTGGAGAAGATGCCACGTTTTGCCAGTGTATACATGGGATACCCTGTCATTTCAAACCAATTTTAGAGCACATTTTAATTCTCACCGATTGATGGGACTGAGATTCATTTCCAGCCAAGCAAATAAGACAACCTGGATTTACACCCACCGCTAAGGAAATATTCGAAAGATAAAACACTGCTCGTTCATGGAGTTTTTAGAATAATGACAGGAGCCACAGCGAAGAAGTCCCTGCTGTTTGGGATCAACCGTCCTTTTGCATTGTACTGTAGCTTACCTTCTCATATTTCTCCTTCAGCTTTGCAGCCTTGTTATTGTAAGGCTGCTTCTCCCCATCGCTTAGATTGTTCCACATTTCCCCCAGCTTCTTGGCCACGTCTCCGATAGAAATGCCCGGGTTAGTCGATTTGATCTTGGGACGGAACTCTGAACAGAAGAGGAAGAATCCAGACCTGTTGGGAGGGAAGAGGAAATGAGCCAGGCTGCAATCTGGTGTAGCGGATCGGAATACAAACGAATTGAGTAGTTAGCTTTCCAATCCCCGGAAAACTACAGCGATTCTATTCTACTATGCACTACTTATCTATGTTTAAATGTTATGCACATTTAATATTAGCCCTTCTACAATCCAATCCATGTTGGATGGGAGCTGGCAAGGAGCTGGCAAACTTCAGAACAGCTTCTGACCAGTTCAGTCAAATTTAGTTTAAAACAGCAGCAAAAGCTATATTGGATCTACACCTTTGTAGCAGACGATGGAGACTTCACAAGCCCAGAGTTTACCCATTTTAGAATTACATTCAAACTAGGCCAGCTTGCGTTGTTTATGTGTAGGTAGAAGCACAAGGGATCACAAATTTCTCACCACTATTATAGTTCCATCCATTTTTGGGACTGTTGGGCTGGAGACACAACCCTATAAAACCAACTACAATACACACATTATTGCAGTGAATGCTAAAAAATTCCTTGATTTGAATTCAGTTTATTATCTCACTCAGCAGGACCTTGGCAAGCCACTAGTCCTCAACATTAGCACCCCTCTCCCCAGAGCAATCTTGAATAATGGCCTCTCCTCCAGTATTGCTAAGTTTCACTGTATGTGTAACACATTGAAAGCTCTGAAGTGCAGTATGAAGTAAATTAGAAAATTAGCAAGTCATGATCATTAAATGAAGACAACATTCCATGCTCTGCCCCATCCCACCTCCCCCTTTTTCTGGAGTGGTCAATGGGGATAAAGTGGGTTGCTGGTAAATAACCGCACCGTGCCACAATTTCCAACTTGCAGGGGGATTAATCATAAGAAATCTTACAAGTAGCAGCAGTGGGAAGAAATAGTTGGTTATTTTAAGACACATATCTTCCTAAGAATTTGTTAATACACAAGGACTTTCATATCCACACAACTCGTATCGAGTTTCGGTTACCATTCGTTTGACAGTGTCCTATATACAACTTACAAAGGGTCAGCCTTTCCTGCCCGCTTGTATATTGTGTATAGGGTGCCCTCGCATCCGCGGTTTCAGGCGTCCACAGTAGATCACGGAATCAATCCTCTGTGGACACAGGGGTTCTACTATAGTAACTTTCAGTGGCTGAAATCCAGTGCAAATCACAACTAGAGTAGACCCATTCAATCAGTGGGACATTGGTGAGTCAACTCCTCAGTAAGATCCACTGATTCAATAGGCCTAGTCTCATTGCGACTTACTACTGCATTTCAACCACTGAAAAGCAGAGGTAAGACACTGTGGCTAGATTCAAGGAGAGTTTAAAGCAGTTTCATGAAGCTTTATTAGCATATATTTTTCTTTAATGATGGTCACAACCCATCTAAGAAAGCTTGGGTCCCAGGAAGAATGGAATCCATCATTACTTACGGTGGCCGTTTGGGGGCATTAGGATCCTTCTTCTTCTTACCCCCCTTCGCTGGCCCATAATCTTTCATTTCCCGATCATACCGTACTTTGTCGGCTTTGGCCATCTCATCAAATTTACCCTTCTCTTTGCTCGACATGGTCTGAAAAAAGCAAGTACAACTCATGACGGGTCTTACTCAGAAACAGCCCCAATGAGGGCTAGGAACTTGGAGAAGACAGACTATGTGGTTGGCACACCGGTTAATGACCACCCTGATGTGTACGACAGGATACTGGGCTAAATGGGCAAACAGCCTGGCCCTGATAAAAGCAAAGCAGCTTTCTGTGTTTCTAAAACCTGGTTTGAGATGCCTTCAGCCACTGGATGTAGATTCCACAATACAAACCCAAGTCCACAGAGTTAAGTGGCATTCCAGGCCACTGTTAAGCCAGTTCTGAGCCAAGAGAGGCAACATCTAAGAATGGCAAAACTTTATCTCTAAAGCAAGACAATACTGATGCAGGTTGCTGCTGACCTTCCCCACTTCAAGATAAAGCAGAACTGTCAGCAAAAAAACCCTTATTAAACCTCATCCACAGATAAAGCTGTGTGTATATCAAAAATACAATTCAACTGTAGATGCTGTAGTGGGCAGGGGTGCAGAGGAGTCTTCCTGAAATATCTATAGCCTGAAGTCAGGTTTCTAGCCCTTATGACTTACAGAAATATTTTTTAAATAATGTGTCAGTCGCACACAGTGACATTTTGCAGAAGAGAAATGACTTTAAAAGATTCAATAGACACACACAAGGTTTTACTACATTTTAACTTGGGCTGCATATCTACTTTGGAGGCCTTATTTCTAATTTTTTTTTTTTTTTTGGCTATTCCATCTTGGTAGTCCTCTCTTTAAATTAATTGTTTTAAATTGAAATATGTAATTTTATGATTTTATATATTTTTATACTGTTTTGTTTTATTTTGTAAGCCGCCCCGAGTAGACATGGTCTAGAGGGGCGGGGTAAAAATCAAATAAATAAATAAAATAAATAAATAAATATATTATGAGAGATTGTCAAAGTTAAAAAATTGTGCACACTAAGAGGTAGTGTGTATAGCAGTTTATGTTTGGCCAAAATGCTGGAAAATCTCCATGCAGCTCTGAAACTCACTGGATCACCTTGAGCCAGTCACACCACACCTCACGACTGGGCCTACCACACAGGGTTGTTTTGAGGATGAAGCAGGGAGAGGAAAATGTTATAGAAACTGTAGCTTCTGAGAGGAAAAGGGATATGCCAGTGTAGCAGATAAGAAGAGGCCACAGAGTTTTGCAAAAGCTAGATTACAGAATTAAATTGCAGTTTACTTGGGTTTAAATCATGTTTCGTTCACTTGTGTTAAGCTATAGGGGTAACACAGTGTCTGTTCGTGATCTTTATATCTGAAGGGTGCCATCTTTGGCAAAATGTGACAGAACTGAGCCACGAAAATACCTTCCACCGCTCCGAACATTTCTTGGAAAATTCTGCAAAGTTGACCGGAACTTCTGGATTCTTCTTCTTGTGCTCCTCACGGCAGGTCTGCACGAAGAAGGCATAGGCCGACATCTTCCCCTTCGGCTTCTTCGGGTCACCTTTAGCCATTTTTTAAATTCTCTGAAACAATATTTTTTTCAGAAAGAGACACACCCACCACCAACACGGGATTGTCAGTTGTTATGTTCTAGGCAAAACAATACACTGATTCAGCAATACACTGGACAAGAACTAAGGAAGCTTAGACTGAGCTTGAGGCTGGTCCAAACATGCATGCTGCTTAATTCTAAGCCAAAAATGTAAGATTTTTCTGTTCACTTGAGAAGTCGTGTGCTTTGAGCTTACATGGACACAAGAGCTGAATTGTGGCTCTCTCTGACTCATTCCCACAAGCACACCAGTAATGTCTGTTATATCACTAGGCTACCATCAACACTCCTTGCTTATATTTTTTGGGCAAACTTGTGCGAACCAGGAAATTAAAAGCTTTAAATAACATACTTGCCCTTTTTGGCATTTGGCTCGTCCACCTGCCCAAACGATGCCTTGCAACTTATTCAGACTTTACAATATGCTGTGCGTCTGAATAGCTGTCATGAATTTGGATGCAGAATCTATGTTTTCATTTATGCATCCATGCCTAAAAAAATCAATTTAAATATGTCTAAAGAGTCCACTGTATTAGAGCACAAGTTATCTATCTGTAGCGATGCTTCACTAAGAGTCAGGTTTAAGCGTCTAGGTGGCCACTGAGTTTAAGTCACCAGCAACAGCTGCTAACTTTTCAGATATTAAATCCTCTCTTTCCTCGACTTTCTGCAAAAAGGGCTGATTTGTGGGATCAAAAAAAAAAAAAAAAAAAAAAACAGAGAAAAAGCTTTTAACCAGACGAGGAGCTTGTCATTTGTGTTTTTTTTCTGCAACGTTAACCAAGTAAAAACATTTAGGAGTCAAAAGTATTTTTTTTTCCCCTTGTTCAAACATATTGTCTTAATCCTCCCCCAGGGAGAAAAAACAACAACAACCAACCCACTGAAAGATCAACACTGAAACAATCCCCAGTGGTTCAGGAAAAAAAAGGCAACATTTCCCCCTTTTTAAAAAAAAAATCCTATTTCTCTTTTTTAAAAAGCGGTGTGACTATCTGAAAAAGTTTCCGATGAAGGAAGAAATAAGCCTGAATTTTGTTTTTTTCTAAGGTTTTCCCCACCCCCAAGGTCATTGGGGAAAAAAATCTCCCCCCCACCCTGTGTATGTTTTATTATATTGAGACAAGTTGCTTTTAAAAGGTCTTTTCCGCGCCGTAGCCGGCTGAGATAATGCTAGCGATCCACTATTATTTGCTGAGACTCCGATATATATATAGTAGGGTGGATGGGGTAGAGCGCGAGAGAAAGGCAAAAAAAAAAAAGACAGGTCACCAAGACACCAATAATTCATCTTCCATTTTGTGAAACACTTCTTCATGAAAGAAAGTGCCCCTCAAATAAGCCCTTGGGCTCTCCTAGGGGGTGCCTTCGGCCAGGGGGGGCCACGGCAGCTGAAGCTGGGGGGAAAGGCAACGGGGCTCCTTGCCCTTCCCATAGCAATCTCTATAGTCTAGTAGTACTAAAGGCAAAGGGATAGGGAGTGAAGGCTTTCTCTCTCTCTCTCTGCCCCCCCCATCGCCCATTAAGAGCCAAGGCTCCATTCGCTAAAATGGCTTCTCTTCACCAGGCAGTGGAGGTTGCTATGCCTAACAAAGCCGCCGGCACCCCGCCTGATGAAACAAACCCCCTCAGGAGAGCCGACCGAAGCCCCCAGCCCCTTAAAAACCAGCCAGTCGGGTAGAAAAACCTCTCCTCTTCAAGACCCCCAGGGTCTGAGGGAGCCCCGAAGGGGAGAAAGGGAAGAAAACCCGCTTTGAAGCAGCCTCCCCCCCCCTTTCCTCCTAGCGCAATAGGCTGTATAACAAAGACTGCCGCGCAGCCATTACAAGCAAGGCACAGGCGAAACACACTCCTCCTCCGCGCCGAAATATACGAGGGGGGGAGAAGGGAAAAAGTGCACAGACCCCCAAGGCGGGGGCCCAGCCCCAAGCCGAGGGCACCCCCGGGGAGAGATAAAGCCCCCGAGTGGGAAGCGAAAGGTTTGGGGGCGCCGGGGGGGCTCCCCCCGCGGATTTTTCATGCGGGTCCGTCTTTCTTCCTTTCGCCGTCCCTCTCCGACGCCAGCCATGTTAATGCACACATAGCGAGGAGAGAGAGAGAGCTTCCTCGCGGGGAGACGCGAAAGGGACGGATCGGGGCTC